ATTCTTTATAGATCCTCAAGTTCTATCTCCTTCTGATAGACTGATTCTTCAGTATGTTAACATGTTCTCCTCTACCATCGGAAAGACTCTCCTAATATGGGCAGTTTCTTACAAAACTACACATACATTTACTATGTGATCCAGCAGTTGCACTCCCTAGGTCTTTATTCAAATGACCAGAAAGCTGCTGTCCACACAAAAACCTGCACACAGATATTTATTATAGCAGTTTCTAAAATAGCTACCAAAACACAGGAAGAACTAAGTTGTCCTTCAGTAGCTTAACTGATAAATAACACTGTGGTATATTTAGAAAATGAAATATTAATTACTTCTAAAAAGAAATGAGCTATTGAGCCATCAGAAGACACTGAGGAATGTTAAATGCACATTACTAACTGAAAGAAGCCAATCTGGAAAGCTATCTGCTCTATGATTCCAAGAACATAACGTTCAGAAAAATGCAAAACTATGGAGACTGAAAAGATTAGTGGTTTGCGGTGGTTAGGAAAAGAGAGAATAAATAAGTAGAGCACAAGATAATTACCATAGTGAAAATATACTGCAGGATATCATAACAGCTATGATGACACATTCATTATACATACACTCGTTATACATTTCTCCAAACCCTCAGAATGGGCATCATCAAGGGTATCACTCTGGGTGATGATGACATGTCAGTATAAGTTCATGACTATAACAAATATTCTACTCTGGTATAGGAGGTTGCTAGTGGAGTGACCCAAGCGTGTACAGGAATCGAGGGCATATGGGAACTTTGGACTCTGTACTCCATTTTGCTGTACATTTGAAACTACTCTAAAATAAATGTCTATCACATAGCCCTTTTCAGGTCTCCAACTGGTCTGAGCCAGTTCTATTAAAGCTCAAAAAACACTGGTTAATAAGCTAGATATCACCCAATTGGCAAGAAAAGGCAGGAAAGACCCAGGCCAAGAGAGTATATTCCACATGCATATACATGGAAACTGGAGGAAGCTTGGAGGCCCTTTAGCCTGTTCCTGAGCCCGTTGAAACTGCAGATGCAGTCACAGATGCCAGGGGCACCAATGTGAATCAGCCAGCATCCAAGGCCACATGACCACAAATGTGCAGAATCTCCTCTGCAACCGGTAGCTAAGGATGTTAGGCCATGATAGGACTAGGATGGGAGATGAACTGGGAATAGATTCTGTAGGCTTTTATTGCCTCTTCCCAGCTCCAAGCATTTCACTCTGTGCTCTTGCCACAGGCAGCAGGGAGGCTTCCTGTGAACATCATCCACACAGCCTACAGTTGCATCACTCTCAGCCTCTTACACCCTCCTATGGCAGTGTCAGTCAGGACATCCAACCCTGAAAACTCAAGGGCCCACACATGGCCAACATCACATCGGGGTGAACAGACCCCCTCCTCTCATCTGCACACAAATGCACCCTACCTTCTGGCCCTCTGCCAGCAACTGGAGGCTCTGGAAATATCCAGACACACAACAGTCTTCTGAACTGCTGGCTGCGGCCCCATCCTATGGCAGAGTAGACCTTTTCTCCACTAGACTTGGCCTGTTATCCAGTTGAATGAAATGTCTTTTTAACACAGAAACAGGACACAGAAACCAGTGTTCTTGGGCCCTGACCCCATCACACGGTTTGTAGGAACACACCAGTCCCGAGTAAATACCACCGAATTGAGGCCTCAGGCCCTAGAGTGTGCACATCGGCTCTGCTTTCAGAAAACATCAAGGTACTGTTGGAAAGTCTGCAGACTTTATGCAGAAAAACAAAAATGAAAATAAAACAAGTGATGAACACACACACACACCCCCATAGTGACTAACGGGATCTCCCTCCAGGGTATTTGCAGAGAGGGGAGCAGAAAACATCCCAGGGGTCTTTCACAGCTACTGCCTTGAGCCCCTTTTCAGACCGTGCTCTCTAGACCTGTCTCAGCCCAAGCACCACCACCGCAATATGCAGGAGCTAGATTCCTTACCTGAAATTCAACATCAAGAAACAATCTCTTCTACTTAAAATTGATAGGAATATCCTCAATCAACGTCCTCATTGGCAGGGGTGAAGCTGGGGAGTTTCTTAAAAACTGAGGCCTCTGCCTACCACCAAGAAAACCTGGAAGTTTCCATCTATGCCACAAAGTTCAAATCACTGGCCACTGTCCCAGTGTATCGCAGTGTATGGCAGATTAGACCATCTCTCCATCTCATGCCATTAAAATGACACAACCAGTCTTTATGTGCCTCCCAATAAGAAAACACCACCACCTGGGAAGAAGTTTTGCTGAAAAATAAAAATCAAATTTAAATCCTATCCAACTGCTACATGTTTTATCCGTCAGGTAAATACAACCATGTGGCTATTTAAATTCATCTTAATTAAGATTAAATAAAATTTAAAAATTAGTTCTCCCATCTCACTAGCCACATTTAAAGTGCCCAGTAGCCACAAGGAGCCACAACCCACACCTCGGATATACATTCCAGTCATCTCAGAATTTTTGTCAGTAATGCTCCATACCCATTCACAGGAAATACAGGAGGGCCTGAGACACTGCAGAGGGATGCAAAGCAATCCTCAAAATCCATACCATGAGAAACTCTACAGACAAACGACTTGGTTTCTTAAATAAAATGTAATAATAATAAAAAAAAGAAATGGGAAAGAAGATTGTTGACTAAAAATTTTAAAAGACAGATGGAAAACCCATAATGAAAATCAGGTAAAAGTAAACTGTGATGCTTATGGAAGCACGGAAGGGGAAACCAGGAAGAAAAGAAAAGAGTCGCCACAAGAGGCTGGACCACACCTCCTTCCACAGGGAGGAAGAGGACCCTGGCTGGTGTCACAATCAAGCAGCAAAGCTTGATTTCCCAGCCTGAGTGCTGAGTACAGGAGTATTCACCTTCTGGCAACCCATTAAGTTAAACAATTGTTTTTATGTGGTTTTCTGTATCTGTATTAAATTTCACCATTAAAAAACGGTTAAATGAAATCTCATAAAGAGCATTAAGTGTTACCTGGAAAATTACAATAGGCAGGATGAGAGCAATTGGGCCTCTGTGAGAAGTGACACCTAAGCCAAACTGAATTGACAAAAAAGAGGACAGCCTTTGGAAGATCAGAACATTCCAGAAGAGAATATAGAGAAAAGGGGTGATGAAATGGTTCACTCCTGTAATCCCAGAACTCTTGAGAGGGCAAGGCAGGAAGATCACTCTAGCCAAGAGTTTGAGACTAGCTCAACATGGTGAAACACTGTCTCTACAAAAAAGGCAAGAAGCAGCCAGGCCTGGTGGCTCATGCCTATAGTCCCAGCTACTCTGACGGCTGAGGTGGGAAGATCCCTTGAGCCCAGGAGGTCGAGGCTTCATTGGGCCGTACTGCCACTGCACTCCAGCCTGGAATGTAGAGCAAGACCATATCTCAGAAAAGAGAGAAAGAGAAAAGACCTAAGAGGAGGGTAAGCTGTGTGAAATTTGAGTACTGAATGAATTCCAGTGTGACTACAAAGTGGTGAGTTGCAGGAAGAACATTTACAGGTATCACAGATTTCTGGATGCTTACAAATAGCAGAAACTATAAATGTTAACTCAGGGATGCTACGTATATCCTAGTGATAAAACACAAAATACATCAGATGTATAAAAATTTTTGTGTGATGCTTCAAAATAAAGATTGCACGACTGTTCACACTGGAAGCTGAACCTGTCCTCTGTGGGCTGTGCAATGAACTAAACTCAGAATGTGTTATTGCTTAGAATGCATGAACTGCCCACCACAGTATCTGGGACGATGACCTGTCATCCTATAAAAATAAGAAATCAACAACGGGTATGGAATATTGACATCAGATAATCTTATTCTAGAACAACTCTCTAATAAACGTATTTCCCAGCCTTACCTCCTCTAAATCCCAGTCATGGGGCACCTCCACAAGAAATCTGAAGCAGTCCAAAGAGTCGGCCTTGTGCTTCCACGCTGTCAGGCTGGCTGACACGAAACAACCCTCCAAGCTCTTCTCAGGTATCATAATCTTCTTCGTTATCTTCTGTCACTAAAGAGAACACCAAGGCAGAAAAGTGAGAACAAAACCTACAGCCCTAGAGGACTCATTGTTTTCAACGAGTTAGGCCATGATTCTTCCAACTCAGGAACCAAAGGCCTCTGTCTGTGGTGGTTACAGCAATGGCCACATGTGAGTCAGGCACTGAGAGAGCAGGTCAGCTACAAGTAAAGAGAGGCCAGGAAGCTA